TATCTTCTACGCTTGAACTTGCATCTTGCCCATTTTTCATCACCTATATCAGATAGGTATTTTCTAATCTTTGGATCCTCTGCATCTAATAACTTCATATAGAAGGCCCATAATTTCTCTGTAGGTGCCCGTGCTGCAGCATTAAAAAAACTGATCACTTTCTTCGTCTTTCCTCCAAATTTTGATGTTATGTTGCCCAATATATGTTGAACACAATGTCCATGATCAGCATCTGGAAAAACAACTTTTAAAGCACTTATTAATCCTTCATTTCTATCTGAAACGAAGCACAGGTCTGATCTCTCCCCAATGACTTCCTTCAAATTTGTAAAAAACCAAAGCCATGAGTCCTTCTTCTCCTTTTCACACACTCCAAATGCTAATGGGAAGATTTGCCGATTTGCATCAAGTGCGCATGCACTCAGAATAGTCCCTCGGAACTTCGCTTTTAAAAATGATCCATCCACACTGATAATTGGGCGACAACTTTTCCACCCTTGTATGGAAGCAGCCAGTGACATGAAAAGTGTCAAGAAATTTTCTTCGTTATCAGTATTTAGGTAAACAACAGATCCAGGATTTTTGGATCTTATCATATAGCATAACACTGGCAGCTTTTTGTATGATCCTATATCTGTCCCCGTCAATGAATTCAACGCGCTTTCCTTTCCCCTCCATGCCTTTTTATAATTCATTTTCAAACCCAGCTCTCTGTTCAAATCTGCCATTATTGCTTTTGGCTGATACGGTTTTCTAGATGCATCAAGATACTGGTGTTTGATTAATTTGCCAATAATTGCAGCAGTTGCTTGTCTATTCCCACTAATTCGGCAATCTAAGGGGCAAGAATGCACATTATCAAACCTGCAATCACATAATAATTCTTGTAAGCTTTGTTTATAAGAATTTAATCTTATGTTATGTCATACCTTTTGATTTCAAAGGAACTTGTTCCCTCTATCCTGATGCCGCGCACAGCCCATTTGCATCTTTCACCGATGCAAATAACATGAAGAACTTCGGGATTAGATGTCTTTGTTTTGAACTGAAATCTATTGTGTAGCGCATATATCTGTAAAAGTTCTTTAAAATACTCTTTACTCGGATATATCCCATTCATCCTTAATGTTGTATCCATTCCTTCTACCATTTCAGTTCCACCACCTTCAAGCCATGTCAATAACATATTTGTTGAGTCTGTTCTCTCTGAAAATCTAATGGTAGATGGTCCAGTATACATTCCAATATCATTTCTGTTTGTTGAATCATATTCAAATGGATTTAAATCCAACTGTATGTCTGAAGTGTTTGCAAGCACTAGCCTTTCTGTGACATTATCAATAATCACATCATCTATTAGCTTGTGGTCCTTAATTTCCAGACAAAGTGGGTATTTAAAAACCTCTGGCCCTGTACTTAATTTCAAGTGCAGATAGAATTTCAGGCTTTGGTCACTATTAATAATAGTAGGCTGAAAAGTGTCCTTTATTTGGTATGATATGCATAAAATCTCAACACTTGTTTCAAGTTCCAAAGCACTGCGTATCTCATTGATCAACTCTTCATAAGAAGCATCTGGATATAGCAATAGCCCATGTGTTGATTTTGAGATAAAACCTTTTCCTTTTTCCCACTTTCCATCAAACATGATAGTTAACATTAACTCTTTCATCCTATATATACATGAAAAAAATACACATGTTACAGTCACTAATCATAGCTCCAGTTACAGTTACAAAACACTTTGGTTACAGTTACAAAGCTAAATTAACAGTTACACTATTATTCAAGTTACAGTTACACAGTCCATCACATACAGTTACCAAGTTCATCAGTTACAGTTACAAAAGACTTTGGTTACAGTTACAAAGCTAAATTAACAATTACACTATTATTCAAGTTACAGTTACATAGTCCATCACATACAGTTACCAAGTTCATTAGTTACAGTTACAAAAGACTTTGGTTACAGTTACAAAGCTAAATTAACAGTTACACTATTATTCAAGTTACAGTTACATAGTCCATGACATACAGTTACCAAGTTCATCAGTTACAGTTACAAAAGACTTTGGTTACAGTTACAAAGCTAAATTAACAGTTACACTATTATTCAAGTTACAGTTACATAGTCCATGACACTCAGTTACAGTTACCAAATTCATTGGTTACAGTTTCAAAGCTACAAATTTATAGTTCCATAGTTCATCAGTTACAGTGACAAATTTCATCAGTTACAGTTACCACTGACATCATCCACAGTGACCTTGACATCAGTTACAATGACTAGTGACAGAGTTCATCATTACGGCACAGTGACAATGACCTACTTCTTCAGTTACAGTGACAGAGTTCATCATTCATAGTGACCTTGACATTAGTTACATTGACCTACTTCTATCAGTTACAGTGACCATTGAAAAACAATGATATTTAAAAAAGTAGTGACCAAAACTTCATCACCAATGGCACATATTTGTCAGTTTATGTTACTTACATGAGTTACTGCACCTATTAACATTGTCACCTGCTAGCTTTAAATTTTAACATTCTCTCAATTGTAATCATACTGTAAAAACGTATCTGAAGCCTGATCATATGCTTTTAAACAAACTTATGCTTTTAAACAAAATTATCTGAAGCCTAATCATTCAGATTAAGTCAATTGCACAAGTATAAAAGTGTCATCGATTAACAGTTACCAACCTCCGTTGTTTAAAAGCTAAGGATCATAAAACCGAACACACAAAGACATATAATAACCTAATTTCGAATAAATACAAATCGTTTAGTTCAAATTCAAAGATTTTTTTCCGATAGATGATCATGATTTATACCTGCTAAATGACGATGATTCTTCTCCTTGATTCCAGCGATATACTCTATCTGAACCAGCCATTTAGATCTTCGATGTATTTCGACTCCCCAATCTTAATTCCAGTGATATAAGCTTCGTTCTGATTCGGTTATTGGAGCTCCGAGGATTGTGGATGATGCTTTCAGTCCGTTATAAACAGGGGTGTATTTGGTAATTGCCTTTTACGATTTTAGTTTATACACGTGTAGGGTATCTTTTTTGGAAATTTCTAAACTAGGTCACTTTTATGTTCATACTTATCCTATTAGTATTATTCATGACCTAATCCCAAAAAGTACATCAGCGGAAGTTTAAAATTTTTCCAAACAGATCGCTGATTATGACAAAATAATGAATATAACAATAATAACAGATCTGAGTTAGAACTTACAGATCTTCCAGCCTAGTGGTGATAAATAAGTAAATAAGTAATATTGAATCTAGAAAACTGATTTATAAACTGATCTATAAATTATAGAACTAGTATTTATACTAGTTCTAAACTAGTTTCTCACTTCCTCATTAATGAGTTCTAGTCCAAGTGTCCAACTAGGACCAATACCTCTTACTAATTAAATAAATAATTAACAATAATAATAAATGCTTCGTACACATTAAAAGGGAATGGACTGCCACCCCCATTCTCTTTTTTTTTTGGAAGGAATCAACTTAATTATCATTAATCAAATCGAAAGATAAAGCATCCATAATACAGCTCGGAGGTGTAACCACCCAGATTTGACTATCAGACAAAGAACAGACACCCTTAGCTAATGTATGGGCAACCCTATTCGCTGAACGTCTAATGAAAGAAAAAGAATTATTATTAAAACCCGAGCTTAATTCTCTAATATCTTCTGCCAGCAATCCTCCCGACGAAAGACTTGCTCCCTTTTTAATCTCCGAGATTGCCTGTAAAGAGTCTGATTCAATCATAACGAAGTCCCAAGCTTGATCTCGCAACCAACACAAAGCCTCTCTTATTCCCAGGAGTTCTGCCTCCAGCGGAGAGCACCGCCCCTCGCATCTGTGAGCACCCCCGGCAACAAAATTCCCAGCAGCATCCCGAACCACCCAACCCAAACTATGCTTCAACCATCCCTCTGGAGGTCTTTTCCACCGCTGCTCACGATTCTCCAGGGAAGCCTGCCTAGCTCCTTTCTCCTTCTGTTGAGCCGAACACCAATTGTCCACAAAACTCCAAGCTCGATGCATAACCTCATAAGGACTAAGACTCTCCCCTTGCCATACCCGCCTATTCCTCTCCATCCATAATCCCCAACAGCCCCATGCCACCTTTTGTAAATCATCACCTTTTATCCTCTCAAAAACCCCCTGCAACCAATCCATCAAACAAGCAGGCACCTGAGAAGAAAAATCCCAACCAACACATCTCCAAGCCTCGGAAGCTACAGGACAAAGCACGAACAAGTGTAAAAGGGATTCATCATCCGTTCCGCACAAGCCACACTTCTCAGCACACCCAACTCGCCTCCGCCGCAGATTCGTTGTTGTCGGCAAAAGGTCCGAGCAAATTTGCCAGAATGATACCTTAATCTTAGGCGGTAACCTCCAATTCCAAAACACTGTCCAACCCCCCCAGCCAACTTGGTTGACCTCGCCAACTAATCTTCGATAACAGCTTCAGACAGAAAAGCTACCATTCTGCTCTCCCCGCCAAACAATCCGGTCTGGAACCGCTCTCCAGCTTAAAGGAATGTTCTTGACTAAGTTCCTGTCCCTGCAATTAAAAAGCTCCTCCAACAAGTCTGTGTCCCACCTTCTATTAATAAAAGAAATAAGGCCGGCCACTTTAAGATCTTCCAACCCCTCAAGTGTATTAGACATAACATTCGGATTAATAGGATCCGGAAGCCAAGGATCGTTCCAAACACTAATAGACTCCCCATCCCCCACCCGCCAACTATAACCTTCTTTAATAACTTTTTGAGCCTAAAAAATACTCCGCCAAATGAAGAAAGGATTATTTCCTAATTTAGCTGAAATAAAAGACCCATTAGGGTAATAGTGGGATTTAAAAACTCTGCCAACCAGGGAACCCGGATCATTAAATAATTTCCAAGCTTGCTTAGCTAACATGGCAATATTAAATTGTCCAATTCTTCGGAAACCAAACCTCCAAATTTTTTTGGTTTACAAAGAAACTCCCAGTCCCGCCATCTAATGCCCCTCCCGGCGTTACTCGTCCACCAATACCCATTCATAAGAGTTTCCAGCTCCTTACAAAGATCAACTGGTAAAAGGAAGACGTTGATAGCATACAAAGGCATTGCTTGAATTACCGTTTTTAGTAGCACCTTCCTTCCTGCCCGGGAAAGAAATCTATTGTTCCAACTTTGAATTCTTTTAACAACCCGCTGCCTCAAGTAGTTCAGAATCTCCCGCTTATTTCGGCCAAAAAGAGTCGGCAGCCCCAAGTACTTCTCCTCCATGGCCGCAGGTCCCACTCCAAGTAACTCCACCAGCCCTTCTCTGCAACTAACCGAAACATTAGTACTAAAAAACACTTTAGATTTGTTAAAATTTACCACCTGTCCCGAAGCCGACTCATAATCATGGAGGATCTCCTTAACTATTGACGCCTCCCTGTGATTAGCCTGAAAGAACAATAAACTATCATCCGCAAAAAGTAAATGAGATATCCTCGGTGCCCCTCTAGCCACTGCCACGCCATGAATGCAGCCCATACTCTCATGCTTCCGGAGAAGAGCACTGAGACCCTCTACGACCAGGATAAATAAATAAGGGGAAAGAGGATCCCCTTGGCGCAAACCCCTAGAAGGAATAATTGGTCCTATCTCCGTATCCTCAAAAGGAATGGAGTAAGTGACCGTCTTTACACACCCCATAACAATATTAATCCACCTGTCTGAAAAGCCAAAATGCTTCAACATTCCTTCCAAAAAAGACCACTCCACCCGGTCATAAGCTTTGCTCATGTCTAACTTCAAAGCTGCATAGCCAACCTTCCCCTGAGTCTTGCGTTTTAAGTAGTGTTGAGACTCAAACGCAATCATAACATTATCAATAATTGATCTCCCAGGAATAAAGGCACTTTGTTGTTCAGAAATACATAAATGGAGAAGAACCTTCAATCTATTAGCTAATATTTTAGAAAAAATCTTGTATACTACATTACAAAGTGCAATGGGACGCCAATCGCTAAGCAATTCCGGGTGCTCCTTCTTTGGAATCAAAACAATGTGTGTCACGCCCCAGACCGCAATCCAAGCGTGTGTACAACCGCCGTATAATCAAGTGACGTCACCCGCGAGTCAACCTCACTTAATTACACAAGGCGTTCGAGAAAATAATCCATCCATACTCAGTAGTAAACATACATACCAACATCACATTTAAACCAATGAATAGCGGAAATATTGAACGGTAAGTCATAAGCCACAACCGGCCAACAACATGGGCATGCAAGCCCCAAAAATAGTTTATAGTAGAACAAATATCCATGAGCATGTGTTCGGTAGTTTGAAAGAAAATAAGGAAGCACGAACCGCGTCTTCCTGAAGTTGATATCACCCGTAAGAAGGTGCAGGTAGCAAGCCCTAGCTTTAACCTGAAAATGGTGGCCCCCCCGAAGGGGTCAGTACAAGTACCGAGCGAGTAGCAGACTAAATATAGAATAACTAGCGTTTCAAATATGAGACCCAAACATAGGGTGATACTTATATAGATAGTCTTTTTCCCCAATTTATGAAATACTCATTAGTATATATATACTTGGAAAATACCCGATCCGTGGATCACCGTTTTATTTGGGAAAAATAGTAATAGTCAATATCCTTGACTAAAAACCTCAACCCACCCATATACCTATGAGTGTATAGGACTCCTCCTTGTCCCTGTTTCAATATCATAATCTATGAGTTTTGAGGATCATAATCCTTGGGTACTCCACCAATATATTTTCTAGTGTTAAGGACTTTTAGTCCTAGGGTCCTCCACCAATTTATTATCCGAGTGTTAAGGACTTTAAGTCCTAGGGTCCTCCACCAAAATATGAGTGTTAAGGACTTTTAAGTCCTAGGGACCTCCACCAAAATATGAGTGTTAAGGACTTTTAAGTCCTAGGGTCCTCCACCAAAATATGAGTGTTAAGGACTTTTAAGTCCTAGGGTCCTCCACCAAAATATGAGTGTTAAGGACTTTTAAGTCCTAGGGTCCTCCACCAAATTATGAGTGTTAAGGACTTTTTAGTCCTAGGGTCCTCCACCAAAATATTTTCCTATGATCAACCTCCTATCAACCTAGATAGAGTCTATATCATACTTAGTCATTCATAACTAATTCAATACATAAAGCTTATGTATCACAATCCATGCAAAACCATGCATTTATATAGATTTATAATTAATTAATACCAACCGGTATTAATTAAATGTATTGTCCATCGGTCAACGTTTTCGTTGACCGTCATTTCATGCCTTGTGTGTATCAACTTAATCATCATATAATTAAGTTAATAATATTCATTTGTGCTTCTAATACACTTCAAACAAATATGCATTTTATATAATTCTTCATATCATATTCCATGCATAAACAATTTATTGCCTTCATACAAACTTAACCCTATTGGCTAATCACATGTTTAAATATCTTTTAAACATCATTATGAACTCGTATAACATTTATTTAGGTAATATCATAATTAACCCAAAAGTTATAAGATATTAAGCCGTCCACTTACCTTGAACTAGCGTTATGAAGTTCTACTCTTCTTGGTTGAACTCCGGTGAAACTCCGGCGACTTTTGGTCAACTCCGGCGACAACTCCGGCGACTTTTCCAACTTTGTGAAATCACTTGAAATACCCTTTAAAAGTGCCTAACAAGGTTTTATAATCATAAAATCCATATTAATACAAATAACCTCTAAAAGGCTATTTTCCGGTGAACCGGTCGTTTTGGCTTCTACGTCCGTTCTTGGACGTAGAACCACCTTCCAACCCATAAATCCATACTTATAACATGTGGAACCATACTAAGGGTCCTTCATGTGATATATACCCCATATGATAGAAGAAAAATAAAGGAAAAGTTATAATAAGGTCATTACCTTAATTTTACACACTTTTCCTAGCCTTTTTCCTTCTTTAATCCCACTCCTTGGACTACCTTTGGTTGAGCTCGAGTTTCAGCAATGGAGAATAGCTTGAGAGCTTTCTCTTCCTCCTCTTTTGATAGTTTGGCCGAAATTATGGGGTGGGTGAGTGAGGAGATAGCCTCTTTGGCTTTTCTCTCAAAATAATGTGGGAATGGGTCCTCCCCATTGTACCTTTGATGCCAAATGCATCTCCTCCCCATATTTTTTGTCAACCCAGCCCCCTTTGTCTAACTTAGCACAAAAAAACGTGGGGTGGACCCCACTCATTAGGGAGGTCATCCCTTTGTGTCCGGGTGTGTACAATTGGTCCCGAAAGTTGTATTTTTCGGACTGTTTTAATCATATTTTATTTTATCGGGTAAAATAAAATATATTATGTGTCCTCAATCATAACGCCCCTTTGAAATAATATATATCCCAAAGCTTTAATTTGGAAGTCTCCGAAATTCATTTCTGGGTTGCTATCTGTTAAATTGTTGGTACCGGTAATTGGGCTTCTTTTGCCCAATCGGTCAAATCTGGGCCTTTCCACGACCCAAATAAAATATCCACCACCATATAAATATTATCTTTACCAAGATGAATAAAATATGTGGTCTCGTAAACTTTGGGTGGCCTCCGCTCCCGATGTGGGTCCCACGTGCAGTTTACTCTTCACGCGAAAGAAATAATAAAAATTTACAACTTCGTAAATTCATTAATCCTTTGATAAGGTTCAATACATTATTTACATAAAAGTAAATATACTTGGGGACGGTGTTACAATGTGAGTATGATTTACTCCTTCCGGGATCACACCGGACTCAAAAACATCCCTACAAAAAGTCACCACATCCGGCCCTATAACATCCCAAAAGTGCTGGAAAAAACCTGGGCTCATACCATCAGGACCGGGGGATTTATCCGGGTACATGGAGAAAAGAGCATTCTTGACCTCCTCTTGAGATATCGGCCTCAACAAAGCTGCATTCTGGTGCTCATCAATCTTGCTTTCAACACAATTAAAGCTATGATCCCCGTAATCCTGCATAGATGAAAAAATATCATTATAATAATCTCCGATCAAATTAGCCAGGTCCCCTTGGCCACCCCCATTCTCTTAAAGTATAATTATTTATTATTATTTTATTTAAATTTTCTTGAATACAATTTTAATTACAAAATTGCACTCAAGAAAATATCAACTTTATTTAATTATAAATACATCTTAATTAAGTATAATAAATCGAATTTATTTTACTTAATTAAGTCTATCAAATATAACTCTCCTTCAACTTTATGAATTAAATATGTTTAATCTAAGTAATATTTAATCCATTTTCAGTATTACGAATTAAATAATATTTAATCCAATTAATAATATTTAACTCCTTCTAAAAATTCATTCGGAAGGTATAATCACTTGTTGTGTGACTCATATGGCCTTATATATTAAGCACTAATCAAATTAAGGTCTTACCACAATCCCTAGACGATTTACCAGACAATCTTAATACATAAGGACGTTTGTGAGAACTATTCAAACTCCCTGTAATATAGAGCTCATAGTGATACATCCCTTTCATTCAACGAACATTCAACTAAGTCTAGAACTTGATATTGTGTCTATTCCAATAACTTAATCTCTATATCTCAATCTTTCTAGATGATATAACGATCATATTCGATATCCAAAACGAATATATCTTTGTATTGGCCAATGCTTTTATGACCCATCCAGATATGAGAAGCAGAATGTTCTCTCTTAATCTATTACGAGGAATGAATCTTTTCTTGGTTCAACTACTACTCCATGTGCTTCGTGATCCACCCAACACATGCATGTTGTATCTACCCCGATTGGAGTACAAGTGTTTGTCATGGTCAAAGTACATCACTCTGCACATGTAGTACATATTGACCTCAAGTTGGAGGACTATTACATTATTGATCTATACGCTGATAATCCCATAGACACATGAATAGAGCTTATCAAATGGTTTCTCGGTGGGTATGTCAATATTCTCTAAAATATCTATGTGACCATCATGAATTACAGGAACTCATAGTTGTGAGATCAACTATACTTTCTAAAAATATGATGCAGTCCACATACCAATCTTATCTCATATCATTAATATCCATTTCTTGATTATCATTGATTGGGGCTATTTTAGGACTTATGTTATATCATATAAGCTCTCACATACTTATTGACAACATAAGTCCAAGGGAACACAATTATGAATAAGACATTGACAATCAAATGCTTAATCATCAATGAGTAATACCGTATATATCAAATATATAAAACTGAATGTGATCAAGTACATGTATCTTTAGAAAGTGATTGTCACTAGGACATATATACCAACATGCGGGGCTAGAGATGTTCAAAGTCGTTCGTTGTGCAGGTCCTCATATACATACTTGTGTAAGTAACGTCGATAACAATGACCATGCTTGTATCACAGCTCAGTTCATAGCCCGTGAAATTATTGATCTTCTTTGTATCGATCCATCACCAAAAGTCCGCACTATTAGTGAGCTTATGAAGGAAAAGTACGGGTATGTACCTTCGTACAAGCGAAGTTGGTTGGCTAAGCAAAAAACTATTGCTGAAATATTTGGAGATTGGGAGGCGTCGTATTCTGACTTGCCCCATTTCATGTTGGCATTACAACACTCCAATCCAGGGACGGTCGTGGATTGGTACCCACCTCTTTCAGGTACCAACGAGTTATTAGTATATTTATTGTATCATATTACATTCTATTTTAAATTTGCCTCCCTAATTTTCTCTGTCTCTCAGGTACCAATGACTGTGCATGTGCAGTTTCAGAGAGTTTTTTGGGCATTTAAGCCATCCATTAAGGGTTTTAACATTATCGTCCCTTACTGGCCATTGATGGAACACACTTATATGAGAAGTATAAAGGTACGTTGTTGTTGGCAATGGGTAGTGATGCTAATAATCAACTGTTCCATTTGGCCTTTGCTATTTGTGAATCAGAGAATGGAGAGATTTGACAGTGGTTTATGGCATGAATACATCATTTTATCACACACAAAGAATTGTGTGTTATTTCAGATATGAATGCTGCAATTTTGAAAGCACTTTATGAGGTAGGGAGTGAGTGCCTATTTTGTGGAAAGAAGAGAAACTAGTAAGAGAAAGTTAGCAGAAGGGCGTCACTACTGCTAACGAGTGACTGGACTGATTGAGAAAAATACGGAAAAGGCAAAGCATCACAAGGTCACAATATTTGACATAGGTCGTGGTTTATACCAAGTGGAGATGAGTCGTGGTGATCGAACTGTGGGGAAGGGAGGTAGAAAACAAACAGTGAATTTGCACCGTCGCTATTGCACATGTCAGAAGCTGAATATGTATAAGATTCCTTGCTCACATATACTAGCGGTATGCAGAGACCGTAGTTTGTCCTATGATGCTTTTGTTGATATATTTTTCTCATGATAGTTCAATGGTCTATCCCAATAAACAATTGGTGCAAGTCATGTGTAAGTCATGTGCAAGTAGTGTGCAACTAGAAATATTAAACAATATAGGAAAACAAGAAATTTTAAATGGAATTAACTGGTGTAGAGAAGTTAACTGGTTATCAATGGGTGTTGTTATCAATCGGGTGCACTACGCTTTTCCCAATGCACAAGCGGACACTAAACTTTTTACATGTATCTCGTATTCATTTAATTGCTGATGGATTATTTATATCTTTAGTAGAAACCTAACACCAGTCTAAGCATCCAGGGGTCTTAAACTCTTAAAAATCTTGTGATAAATATAAAAAGTATATCTTATAATATGAAAGGTATGTAAAAGTATTTTGAAAATATATATTGAGTATCATTTAATTAATACTATTTTTATCAAATTAAAGAGCTAAAATGAGGTTTTCTATTCAAAAAACTAAAGAACATATATATAAGACAGAAGCAATATTATCCCAATTTTAAATTTAAATTAATTACTCAATAGATGAGAAGAGAATGAAGATACAGTGTTATATGAAAGTGATGCTATATTTCATCAAACTATGCGGCCACACCACATTTAGGCATGTGTTTCATGCATGTGTTGATTATATGCATCACTCCTTACCGCATCAACAAGCACAATTGTGTAGACAAATCAAACATATATTTTGAAAGGTTCTTATCATCAAAAGCCCGTATATGTCGATGATAGCAAGCGACAAGCTCCATAATCCAAGTAACATAACTGTGAAAAAGAGGAATCTAATGCACAAAGAATGGATAAAGGAAAGATTGTTTATTGCTACGTAAAAAACTTCAATCATGCAAATAAATTATTGATGCACATGAAATGAAATATTCAGTTATTTAGATAAACTAACTGATCAAACCGGAGAACTTTGGCTAAAAAGATCAAAAAGAGCTAAAATCAATACAAACCAATTTAAATGCACTAAACTTAGGAATACTTCATTTTGGTAACTTGATTATGAACATACATGAAACAATTAATGCAAGATGAGAGAATCCAAGATGAAGTACTACCTAATTAAAGAAGACATTCTTAAAAAAAATGTAAGCGAATTTCAGAGAATCAAAATGAGAAAATAAATCAGACGATTAGCAGTGTCAATTTTGACTTTGCAACCACCAATTTCGGTAAAATACTTTAATGATCAAGATAAATGTGCACTCTAATTTAATCTGAATGATATATTCCACATAATATACACGTATTTATTAGATTACCTCAAGTACATAAAGTTAATTATAATGTTCTTTCTATAAAGGTATCATGACACTTTTAGGAAAATATTGATTATAAAGAATAAAACCATGCAATTTATGATATGGGTCAATGTCATTTAAAATTATTTCTATAAAACAAATTTTGACTTTGCATAACTAGTTAGCCTTCTTCTACCTATTGAGTTCATGATAGTTCAAAGGTCTCTCCCACTAAACAGTTGGTGCAAGTCATGTGTAAGTCATGTGCAGGTAGTGTGCAACTAGAAACATTAAACAATATATGTAAACAAGAAATTTTAAATGATATTAGCTAGAGTAATAGATTGCTCGGCATAAGTTTCAATGATGTATGTTTGGAAATACATACTTCTTTTGCATGTACATTAGGGGAAAATAATGAGTAATAGTCAAATATATGTATATATTAATTAATCAAG